GTGGAAAACTACATAAAAGCAGGGAAGTTTGCACATTTCAATAATTCAATTTAATTAGGTAATTATATTACTCGTAAACACTTATAAATTCATGTGCACTTACAGCCACATAAGTGCATAAGAGCAACACAAAATTAAAAAAAATGAAATGTATTTTGGAAACAGTTAAAAAAGAACAACAACAATAATGTTGACTCAAATGAATATGAATTAATTTTCTTCCGAGTTCTTGTTTTTAAAGATCCATTATATATCTGGTAACAAAATATGTCAGTGGTTTTGCTCAAGACGTTTTTAGGGGTTTACATACAGACAAATAGCAAAATTTAAAATGTTCAACAGAATTTCTTGAAACCTGGCATGTTGTTTAGAATATAAAAACAGAAACATTTTAAGCCAAATAATTGAGAATCGCTATTTTCGTGCTTGAGTTATCTGCCCCTAAATGGGCAAATCTTTGCTTCATTCAAGGGCTGATACCTTACGGTAAAGGTAAACAATACCTTTTTATTTTTCTTATTTTCAACTAGCTCACTGCGATTTGTGTCATTTCAAGTACGAATAAATAGCGCACTGTTTTACCCCCTCTTTTCTGAACTTATTTTTTCTTACAATATGGCATATATTTAGAGAATTTAAGTCTCTTTATCAAATGAAAAACAGAAACAATTCATGGAATTGCATGTTTTATGTGTTGTTATCCACTATTAAAAAAGAAAAATAACCCAGAAATAACGAAAAAGATTTTGTATGTATAAGCGTTCTGCTCTTGGCATGACCTCAACTTAGTTAATGATTCTGATTCAAGTAAGAAATCAAATCGGTGACACCCAAGTTTTTTCGCTTGAAATATTTCTGTCATCATATTCTAACAACATGCCAAGTTTAAAGAAATAATGTTGACCAGTTTTATTTCTGCCTATATGTACATTTTGTATATATGTATTGTTTGCCGAATCATGTCAATTATTTCTGAGACATCATCAGATAAAAATCTCTCAGATTCAAAGATTACGTTTCTGACTATGTTAACAAGTGTAATGAAAGATTCTTCATAAAATCTGAAGCCAGAATTCAAGATACTTTAAATTGTACGTTCCCGATCTTAAAAGTGAAATGAATCTATTTTGAAAAAGATAGATGTAAAATCATAGTTACTAAGTACATCATTACAAAAACTGTTAAGAGAAGACTGGTTAGTGTTAGTTGGAAAAAAAGCAGTTAAACATCCGTATATGTGTAGACTTTATTTACTATAATTTATTACACCAGTGATGCATATTCCACAAGTCCCCATTTCTAAACATGACGGGACTTGAAATAATATTTCGAGATTTATATTCCAACTGATGTAAGTAATAACGTTTGTGCAAAATATCATATCTTTCGCTCACTACGTTTTTTCTTATCCTGAAAAATTACCGACGTTGCAAAACGTTTCACACAAACTGGGCTACTAATTAGGACTAGTTATTCTTTTAAACGTCAGATGTATTAAATGAACGAATATTTAAACTAATCATAGCTATCCCTAACTTGATATATTATATTTATTTTATGCTTTTCAGTGGATTACTGATTTATCCGTGAAAATTATATTTGATAATTTCACAGTGAAAATTATCAAAATATAATTTCACTTTTTTCAATGACGAAACTACTTTTTTTAAGATTTTCCCCATGTGGTACCTCAATTTAATTTTTACTGACAATTCTGACAATATCAGGCTGTTAAAAAAATAGCAAAGCTGAAATAGATAAATAACTTAAATGTCAAAAGAAATAAAGAGAGAAAACTTACTTCTATTCCTTCAAATTCCAATCACAAAATTTCGTCTCTAATTTTTTTTGTTTCGTTTTTACAGTCTGAAAAATATATTCCTTCCCCATGCTAAACTGTTCTTGATGACATTTGGGCATATTAAAGTATCCTACAAGCAATAACTGCCGTATGCTTTATGAAAAATTGAAAAGCATTGACAGCCATCACTCGTAAAATAAGTAAAACAACCCAGCGTTCCTTACAATGCCTTAGCAAGCTTCCAAGTTTTCCATTTTCCTAGCTCCTTTTCTGAATGTTTTCACTTCTGTCAACACTTATTTTTTGTCTGTTACAATCCTCAAATAAGTTTTCTTTCTTTTAAAAAGGTGTATGACTAACAAATCCAAATTATATCCTTCTGAATCTTACACAATTATTTTCCTCCCATGAAATACACAACTTTAAAAAATGGCTGCCGCTTACATTTTACAAAGCCAGGTCTAATATAAATTCGCAGTAAGTAACAGAAATATGGATTGATGGTTGGACTTTTTCTCCTACAAGAATCGTTTGTTTTTATTATTAAAACAAGCGATCATTCATATTTTTTTAATAAAATTAATAAATATCACCGTCATTTAACCTTGATTGGCGGACTTATTTTTCAGCTCAAGACTTCTTGTTTTTAATGAGAAATTCCCTCTAAATGGGGCTCTCAATGGGGGAAACAGATTTTAATATTAACGTTAAAATTATGGAAATTTCGTTTTAACTTGTTTTAAAGCATAAAATAAAAAGAAAACTTGTCTGTTGTTGTGTAAGATGTAATTTTATTTCATCTCGTGAACTTTAAAAACAGTATTCTCACTCGTGGCTACGCCACTCGTGAGAATACTGTTTTTAAAGCCCACTCGATGAAATAAAATTTCATCTTACACACAAACAAACAAATATCCTCTATATAATCCAAATTTTAACTTTAGTTTTTAAAATCCACAATTAAACTTGAAGTTAGCTAGCAAAAACTAAAGCCTTAGTCTTGATTATTTTAACTGGATCTGCATGTTGATTTTAATATCATATAGATATTTTCCCCTTATAAGTTTATCAAGTGACAATCAAACATTAAAAAGAATGTTTGTCAAACAACTTACGTTCACACTGGCGGCCTCCGTTGGTAGTCTTGTAGAATATCTTATTATTGTAGCACTCAATGCACTTTGTGTTCGAATATGAAGTACATCTTCTTCTTCTACACTGATAAATATGGGAACACTCTGGAAAATATTATACTAGTGATTAATTTATCTGACTTTTTAATATTTAACAAGATAATGTACTATATCCAAGCCCTTGATTAAATTTATACCTAAATGGCCCTTCCAAACTCTTCAATCAATGAAGCATTTTATTGAAACCTCTAAACACACTTATGTCAAGTTAATCGTCTTGACAATTGGTTTGGCGTTGGATTTGAGAATCATCTTCAAAGGTTTAAACTAAGTTATAACACTTCACAATAAATTTAGGCCATAATACGTTATATGATGTCAGGAATATGTTCAATATTTGATGTTAAAAAATGTTTCACAAAAGAATAAAACTCCACGCAATAACATCCACGCTATAACAAGATTGAAAATGTAGTGAAATATCGAAATATTACTATATGTTAAGTAGACATTTATAACATGCAACACATGTAGTAAGTAATTCCCCCCCCCCTCCCCAACATGATACAGTATTTTATATCATAATCGTAGATATACACCGTTGTTTTGTTCACGTTCAGGACAATAGGGATCAAAATTTAAATACGCTTTATAAATCTGATTTTGTTGATGATGGTAGTGGTGGTTGTGATTGAGATGATGATGTTGTTACTTTAAACAAAGATGATAATGATGGGATTACAGGTATGAGGTTTTGGATGATGATGACTTTGATAAGGATGATGATTATCATGATGCAGATGATAATGATGATATTTATAATAATGATGATGATCATGATAATAATTATATCGATGATGATTGATATCATGATGGTGAATGGAGTAATGATGATGATGAGTTTATTTATGACGGAGATGCTGAAGAAAATGATATGAAATGATGTTGATAATTAAGCTGATGATTCGGATATTTATGAAGCTAATGTGACGAAAAAGCCTGATACCTTTATTCATTTACATTGCTATTCCCCTTTGTTTTAGAAACCCTATTTGTATGGTTAAAAAAAGAAACGTATCTGAAACGTAGGTTAATAGTATTGATATATTATGATTTGTTTATGTTTTAGATCTCGTTAAGACTTTAGAATTAGTTATTTAAGGAAGTTAATATAAATATGATTATTGTTTATAAGTAATAGATTTTTAGACACTTGTCAAGCAAGTTAATCATGAAACTTTTAGACGCTCTTGGGGCAAGAATAGTTCTTAGCCAGCCAATCAGAATACATAAGGTATGTAGATTGTTTTCATTGGTTTTCAGAGATCACGTGGTTCTTGCATTAATATAAAAGCAGAGACGCAGGCAGATTTTTGGAGCCTAGGGGCCTCCGTGGCCGAGTGGTTAAGGTCGCTGACTTGAGATCACAGGTCCCTCACCGCTGTAGGTTCGATCCTCGGGTCGAAATCTTTCATGTTAGGAAGCCATCCAGCTGGCTTACGGAAGGTCGGTGGTTCTACCCAGGTGCCCGCTCGTGTCTGAAATAATGCTCGGAGGGGCACCTGGGTTCTTCCTCCACCAATAAAAGCTGGAAAAAATCGACGAAAGAATCTCGGCGGGACGCTCTAGGATGGCCAGTCTTGAGTGTACGGTCGCCCATATGGGCTTTCCGGAGGCGACCTTAAATAAACGCATTAAAAAAAAAATTGGGAGTTGCAGCTGAGACATCGTCTAGGAAGGTCGTATTAATTATCAGCTAATTAATATAATATTGGGGACTTTGTGCCGTAAATACAACATAATGAGATTGACTCAGATATTTAGAGCATTGCGTTCTGATACTATCTTAACATTAAAGCATTGCGCTTTGTGTTCAGGGTTTAATCTTAGTTATATTTTAGTTGTACGGGTTGCTGGTGAGATTAATGAAAGGCTGAACATATAGAATGTAAAGTAGTTCTTATAGGTTGATGTGTAAAATTATTAGGAAACATTTATAGAAAGCTAACCATAGGAGTGATATAGTATTTCCCATTGGTTGTGTTATAAATAGAGGACATTGACTTGATAAGTAAATTGTTTGAGCTATATTGAAATATCGTATCTTTATTAATTCCCATTGATTTTACTGTTATTTAAATCATTTGAGAATCATTTATTACCAATCATAAGGCAAAGTAGCCTGAGAAAAATTATATATATATATTATAATAGTCAAAGCTATAATTTTGCATATTTCAAACGCTACCTAAATTATAAGACAGACGCTCGGACACGTTACACTGATGATGATGTTGAAAATGATGGTAGAGATGATAATAATAATAATTATTATAATTATTTTGTTATTGTTGTTGATGATTTAGATGATGATAAAGACGATAAATGATCATGAAAATAATGATTGCAAGTATGATGATCATGATCGTGACATGGTTGTAGATGATGTTCATGGTGATGATGACTTGCAATGTGGATGCTTTATTATGTTGTTTTGTTTATTTTATTTTTTGTTTTTTGTTTGTTTTTTATAAGGGGGGGGGGGAGATTTTCCACTGATCTAGCCAAAAGTAAAACAAAGATTTAAGTGATAGAAAAATAAAGCGCCTTAAACTATGTGTTCAATTTGCTAAATCTGGCGTAGAATTTTTTGTTGTAATTTTAAGACTTTTCGATTTTAATAGTGATTCGAAGGGATTTGTTTAGAAAATCTGTATTCATTTAAAGAATTTATTTAAATTATTTCATTTCTAGTTTATAAAGATTGATTTAATGAATTTCATACAATTCCAAATTAAATTTAAAGGAAACGAGGTTGTTTAAAACAATGACCTATTTGTGTAATATTTTCACAACACGTTCAATAGAATTCGTCATTACATCTACACCAATTATTTCAATAGGAGTAAACACCGTTATAATTTTTTTGTTGTTGCAATTTTGCGTGCTTTGTGCGTATTTACTGCCATAGTCCCTGTCATGACCGCAATCTCTTAAACAATTATAATAGTCTCTTTCCGCTTTTTACAAAATAGATCTCGTTTTTGTTCCCCAACCACAATTCCTGCTACAGTACGACCATGACACAAAGGGTTCCCAGTTACAGTTACATGTTTACTTACACCCACGGAGCAACTTGCTTCGACATTGGTGGATGTAAAATGTATAACGGTAAATACAATGAGGTGAAATATTACTATCATCCTCAATAATGAGGAGAACTACGGCGCATGCTAAACATTCGTGTAAATATTTACAACTGAATGAAACAACAATCCAAAATACTCGGCGAAGTTGAATAAATATCGCTTTTGACCATCATTTGTAACCAATGGTAAGATATAAAAACTTTCAGATAAACAAGTATGTTAACAGTTGGTTAAAACAGCAGATATGGAATTTGTGAACAAGGCTTTAATTGTTTTAAGTTTAAACGTCTGGAAAAATGAAGTTTCCATAAAAACTATTAAACCACGCTAATTCAAATGTGAAAAACAAACAGTCCGTTTAACAGAAAAACACCCTGATCTGTACTATGCAGACCTATTCCTTCTATGATAACGTTATCGCGCTGGAAATTGCAAGAAACTCAAAGCAATTGTGTAAGATGATAAATTAACATAGGATTCTGTATTTTTCAAAATTAATCTTGATTATCAGCGGACTGATAATTAGGCTTAAAAGTGTTAATCAAAGCTCTGAAGGCACTGAAATCGTTTTCTTAATACCATTTTTAACAACATTTAAGTCCTAGCTTTTATTCTAACAATAGAAAGAAAATACTCGGATTTCCAAAAAAGAAAATTAACTGAAGTATTTGTTAAACATTTAATGACTTAAAAGAAAAAAATAATGTCAATTTGTTACACGTGCCAGATGTCAAAGCAAGCTTATTCGCAACACGCTAATTTGTACAATTTATTTGCCCAACAGTTCCATCATATTTTTTCCCTGTTTGCATATTACTCCACCCACTGACTGACACTTTTAATGGAAAGGCAATGTGCACTTTATTTGTATGAAAGTTAAAATTGTAGCTCCAAAATGCATGTACTTGAAAGTATATAAGCCATACTATCACAAAAATGGTGACATTGACGATGCAAATGATGATAGTGAGCGATGATGATTATTAATAATAATAAGTGGGTTGATGATTAGATTTTGAAAATGATGATGATTGCATTTGCAAACTTTACATGCGTTTGTTTGAAAGAAATAAAAATAAAACAAAAACCAAACAGTAATATTACCTTGCATGTGATAGTTAACGACACCGGCTCGTGTAACTCGGACGGTTTTTCAGCATAATTTAAATCTCATAATTAGAATGTTGAACGTTTTTCATCAAAACAAAAATGCGCTTGTACGATAACTACCATACCGTGCACGAGGAACGCAAGCACAAAATAATACGAACGGTTCCATATGTATTTTGAACGCGAATATATACATGTTGTAGTTTCTTTTATCTAATTAGTAAGTTTGTGTTTACACAACAACCATAACCAAACTTAAAATTATTGACTAAGAAGCTTACAAAATATCATATACAGTCAAACTTCGTTCGCTCGAACTCGGAGGGCCTATGCAAATTTGTTCGACAGATCGGTAGTTCGAGCCAACCGAGGTTGAACTATTGTTACGTAGGACATAGGCCTAAAAGTTTTCCAGCTTACATCGTTCGAATGATAAATACGTCGTTATAATTGTTTGTTGGTACATTTGTTCGTTGAATACGTCATTAAGAATTATTATCACATTGTTTTCATATGAGTATTAACGGTTCACTGTGCTAATCTGTATCCATGCATATTGCAATTGTTTGAGTTCTATTGCAAACGTGTTCAACAAAAAATATATTTATATGTTTATTATGTGATATACTTTATTTTAAACAATGAATTAATAAAAAAATTTTTTTTAATTTTTTACTGCATCATCTATTTGTAGTCATTTAAATAAACACACGTACAAGTATTATTATATAAAAAGATAACATTGAAACAATTCACGTTACATGAACCACAGTCGTAATTATTTTAGTAATTAAAGCCGTCCGGGTAAACGACATTCTTTATTGACTTTTGCACATTTTACTTATATCACGAGTTTTTTTATTGTTACAATAAACGGCAAATAAACAATATCATTACAACAACTAAATCGGTTACAACACCTCTTATCTTGTATCAATTAACCTTAATTGCCTTTATAACAAATTTGAAGGTGTCTTTAAATAACGCAAGGAAATACCAACAACATTTATGAAATAGTAGCAATGTTGTCGGGACATGTGTGGTCCAACCATATTTATTTTATGCGAATGTTTCACAGAACATCTTTACATAAAAATATGCTATGTCTTATCACTTCATCGATATCTTTAATAGATTTAAAATTAAGTACTGAAATCTTCAACTTGAGTTCATATACTTAAAGTGTGCATAGAAGGAAAGCGTAAATCGTTATATCAAATTTATGTTGAAAATACTTTTTCGATGACTTTCTCTTTGTTTCTCGATTTGTCAAATTTTATTAAATTAATGTAAAAAGAAAACAACATTTGGTTTTTAAACTTATTAATCCATACATCAAGATAAACTGGACATGAACTTTCAATGAACTTTCATTTTGTTGTAAACTTTTGAATGCTAACAGTAGGAAAGAAATCTGAACCTTTACAGCCATTTCCATATCCAGCACCGTAGTAACCATCTTCACATTCTGTACATTCAATACTGTCAGGAGATCCTCCACATCTCTTCTGTCCAGATTTACAGTGGGCTATATAAATGTGTCTACAATCTAAATAAGTAAGGATATATTTTGTTTGTTTCAAAAGCAAAAAAATGGTGAACAAATCAGTGTAGTCTAAATTACATTGACTTTTTAAGATTATGCTAGTGAAAACAGAGTTTAACCAATTATGATTTAACGTTATAAAAATCAAGAAAATGTATTTATTAAGATAGAGAGTTAAACAATACATGAACAACAACAACAAAATCAACAATACAAAAAACAAGCGGCTATCCCTCGGTTCATTACTTACAGCAAAATAACATGATAATTGCGGAACATAGCCTAAGGATCCCGCACTCGCGACAATACAGCAGTTCATTTAATGAACCATATACATTTGTTATAATAAGACGCCAATAATATGGAAACATACTTTTTTATAAATATTAAATGTAAATACTTGGACGTTCTTTTTTATCTTATCATTTAAAAGGTCTTTGTCTTGTTCATACATTGACAACACCTTCCAGATCTCCACGAAGGACAATTACATCCTCCAGAACCGTACCATCCGCCGTTGTAGCAATGCTGGTTACAGTCCTCCTCGAAATATCTGTTAATCCTAAAAACACATGATTGACAAGTCCGTCCCCGCCTTCCTCCTCCACATGGCTCTGAACAGCTGCCCCATCCAGGACAGTGTGGGAAACTGTGTGGTCTACATCCCATCACTGATTAACAAAGGAAATGGGAGAAGGTGTGTTTATTGACATATTCAACTGACCACAATCATTGCATGCAGAACAATTTCTATTTATAAAGATTATGATTAAATTATAAACGTTACTAACGTAATCGTGTTTAACTGTTCATAATATAAAAGATACGATAAAAACGTAGGAGGGAATCACGTGACTTTGTCTATTCATACCGAATAATGGCGACTGCTGATCCGTAGAATATTCATAATTAAGTCAGTTTTCCACAAACATTTCCGGAATCCAAACTAAATTGAGTCAACTATAGTTTCTTTATGTAAAGATCATAATTTTGTACCTTAATGAATTAAAATTAGCTTTCTTTCTGTTTTAATCTTAGAAGCCTATTGCAAATTTAGTCTTATTTAAGATCTTTACTGATGGTTAGTAAAGAAAACCAACATTTTCTGGGCAAACTAATAAAAAAAAGTTCGCAAATGCTTTCAAATGAGATAAAAGTTACTATGATTTTTCTAAACTTTCCAAATTTTATTCATTTCTAAATAACATTGTCGGTCGTTATTACGGACATGTAATGACAATGAAATTCCGTTGTGATACTTTCACCGTCACAGTATATTCTAACACGCTTAAATTATTCCCCTATAGAACAGTTATGACAGTGATATGCATTATTATACGATATATGCACAGCTTAATAAATGAATGCTGGCACGCCATTTGACGTCAAATATTGCGTTATGACGTCAGATATGACGTGAATAAATCAAATGATGTCAGGAAAATTTCTTCTACCCTCCATGGAAGCTCAGCATATTTTATCATTTATTATTTTTATTATTGGCACTGAATACGAAAAAGGTATTAAACATTTTCTGCATAATAGTAGTATAATTAACGGTGTACCGTTAAAATGTTTTGCCTTGCGACGTTCGTACATGTATTCCTTCGCATTTTAACTCAAACTTTGTGTTATTTGAATGTTCCAAAATAGTAGACGTCATGTAGTGATTGTTCTGTTTAACTGGTGCAGGAAGAGCTCAGGTGCCTCATCTTGCAATATCCAGGCACTAGCGGCGGGCACCTGAGTAGAACAACTTACAGTCATTCCGTAAGCTAGCCTGATAGTACTTCACACGAAAGGATCCAAAATCTCTGGTATACGAGAGGTAATCAATCAACGCCGGCGCGTTGGTATTTCGTCAGGATTTTATTGCAGAAACAATAAAAAAAAACAACATAAAACTGCAAATACATTATTTAAATCGGAGTTTGGCTTCCAGATTTTCATATGATTTACTTGGCCGAGCTGGACTCCGAAATTGTTTTGGCCAATTAAATACAATCTTATATAGCAACTAAAAACCTTAAATTTTAACGCCATTTTTAAAAAGCGGCAAGTATTGCTTCAAGCGAAAGATATTATGATGATAAAACATGTAAGTTTTCATGATGTCTTTTTTTAAATTAATTGATCATATTTACACCGATTTTTTTTATTTCTCCTGCCTTTTCGTTTGGTTAATTAACAGCTCCGACATTCTTCTGTTCTTTCAAGCAATAGTTGTAAATCATTTTGCAAGGGACGAAAACACTGATAATAATATTTCTGAGGATAATTACGCTTCAAATATGCATTATATACAAACAAACCATGCATATGGAAGTTTACATGATGCACTTGGCAGGAAAGCCTGATGTCCCACCAAATGGTGTATTTGATTTATATAAGTGCTTGTATAGGAATATTGTTTATTGTCGCTCATTCCAATACTTATTATTCTATAACAATTATTATAAACTTCATATGACTGTGTGAAACCTTGACCACACTTATTTCAGGTCAAACGGTCAGGGTCACTGGAATCTGATATACCAAAACAATCAACGGGTCATAAAGTGAAAATGCATATACATAGAGATTTTATTCTTTCCATGTGGATACATCTTGATATATCTAGTTTTAGGTGACCGCTTCGGGACCAATTGCTCCTTCGTTATGAATGGAATATTCCTCTCTTAATTCTATCAGTATCAATGTTGTTCTTAAACAAAGAGAGCTGTCAGTTGGAAATGTAAACACACCACATGATATAGAAATGACAAATCGAGTCGGTACTAGCTTTTTCAAAAGCTAACCTTATCATGTAAGAGTTAAGTTTTCAAACCTGTCTAATTATTTACTCGGATATGTTTAATTGCAAAAGATGCTCAATCTGGGATCCATGGCAATAGTTAATCATTCAATACCTTTTTGCCCAAGCTCAAAATTCCCTTTTATGCATGACTGTTCTAATTTGCTCTTTTTGTCTTTGATATCATTTTTAAGACCGGACATTGTATAAATATTGCGTTTCTTTAGTGTACCCAAGATACCAGAGGCCATGGGAGCTGCCATCCATTTGACATCCATTTTTCAGGTGTAATGTAATTCACTTTACCTTTGTTGAGAAAGGTAATGGTCATCTGAGCGGTATGACAAGAGGCGCGTTGATGAAATCATATATCATTCTCTCTTCCAGGAATAAGTCGCGGAACATCTTTTTGAGAAGTGGCTGAAGAACTTTGTCTATGTAATATTTTGCATTGACTTTTACCCCCATATTGATAGAAAGTAGAGGTATCTTGCCGTAGTAACTAATCACGACCAAAACCATAAACCCATGTGCAAATGCAAACTCCAGATTGTCCACGTCTGTCTAATTAGGTCGAACGTAGCAAACATGCCGTTGATCGTAACTACCGCCTATACCAAATATAGGCTAAATTGTGGTGACAACGTTTATCAATTTGCCACAGTTAAGACGGAGGTATAGACAACATGATCAAGCAAGTCGTTAAAAAATCTGGGCCTCATAAAGCCTATGAAAGCGGCACTTTTCCCTGAGTTTTGCTTTTAGAATTTCTGTCGTTACTCTGTCGACCATGCCTAGTTGAAGATTTTACATACGACGTCAGCAGTAGCTGCTGTCCGATGTTTGGTAAAAGATCCATTTGTACCAGTTTTGCGTATGTTATTTCGAATTGCACATTAACCATGTTAAATGCGATGCACAGAAGCAGACAAAACAGTATCTGCCATCTGTTGTAATTACTTATTTCACAATGTTTATGTAGGATTTTTTGCTTAAAAAGTCTTCAAATAATCCCCTCAACTTAATCATATATTTTTGGGTACACATATTGAAATCTCAATTCAAATGAGATGGGTATATGTATAATACACTACTTTACATCAATTAATCGCTTTGCACAAGTTTTTATAAGCTATACGATCTTATAACGTGTCATGATTGTGTTTTGTAATAAATTGAACACCTCTTGTAGTACGAACCTAGTGAGGGGCAAGTGGTTTGAATACATTTTGTAACTATATAAAGTGTCTGGTTCGGTTAACTAAGCTGGCACTATTGTTAACATAAATTCAAACAATTATCTCTTAAACCATCACACGAACAAGATTGACTTAGCACCGATATTGGACAAAATCTACTGCATATATAATAAGCAAGGTCTAGTTTGGATTCCTAAAATGTTAGTCGCAAAAATGTAACAAAGTTATGGACTTTGCACACCACTAACAGTCGTCATTACATTGTTTAGTGTACAAAGGCACTCCTCGTGACAACCGTTTAATAAAAGTCAAAACCGTTTAACGATATACTTTTTAGAATTGGAATTAAGATTCGAAAAGAAGAAAAATAACTTGAACTTAATATGACTTGTACAGAAACAATAGTAGTTTGATTCTATATTTTACGACTACAATACAGGCTAAATTTAATTACTCACCTACATCCTCGATATACGCAAACCACACCAATAATTGTAAGACCAGTAGCAGCATTCTAGTTAAAAGTATTTGAACATTCTTTAAAAAGATATAAAATCATATCGTGTAATGATGAGTAACAATTAGGAACTTAACCATTTTGTGTTAAATGAAAAAGATTCTAATATATTTTATCTATAGCAGGAATTCGAAAATTCGTAAAAGAAATAGTTCAAATACGACTTCTTTTTTGCATACATCATACTATTTTAGCAATTAAAATATTTCAAAGATTACGCCAAAATACCCTGGTCCAATATTCAATTAATTAATGACTTAAAACTTCTCCTTTTTGTTCTCATTTATTTAATATCAGTATCAATTTAAATAAATAGGACGTGCCTGAAATAATGCACGGAATGGCATCTGAGGTCTTCCTCCACCAGTAAAGCTGGAACGTCGCGATATGACCTATACTGTGTCGATGTGACGTAAAAACCCAAAACAAACAAACCAAAACAAATACAGTTGACTTGAAAACGCATATTTATCAAATTGTAGAATACATTATTATTCATTCACATGAAATTACCATTTAATGTGTCAACTTACAACCGGCTTCGGCAGAATTTCATATTTGACAATAAATTGGTAGATGTTTGAATTAAGAAACATTCGCAAAACGATGTGTACCAAGAAGAAAAACGTGTAGTCTGAACATAAAACAAAATGAAATTGAATGTTGAAAGGGTATATCAGATTAGTTTGCCCATGTTTTACAAAGAAACTGTCATAGACAAATGTAAACAGCTGGCAAATACAGGAATACTGATACTACAAAATTAGAACAAAAAAAGATAAAAAGGAAGGAATTTTAAGTGCCACAAGTTTAAGTGCTGCTGGTACGATATATTTCAGCCTGTTTATGATACGATAACTAAGCTCACAAGTATATTTATATTCCCCTTAAAACTTGTAAAGAACAATACTTTAATAAAGTGAACATCTGATTGAAAACTTTTGTACGTGCGTTTAAATATTTGTGAATTTCTATTATCAAAGCCATCATAAAAATGTAAATTGAATTATGTACAATAAAAGTTTAACTTTGTCTAATCTAACATATTTGTTGTGCACAAGTATAAAACATTTAATGTTTTCGTAGAATGTGGATTAAAATGATATAACTTGAATTTAAAAATTATTATTTTTCAATATCATTTAATTTATGTAATATGTAGAAAACAGTTCTAATTATTAAGTTACATCAACCAGCAAATGTGCATTAATTGTCGAAAGCAAACATTTAATATGCAAACTTAAACTCAAATATTTATTACATATTAAATAAAATAAATTTTACCTTCTTTAATAAAAATATATCACATCATCTAATTCACGGGTTTGAATTCCACGTAGTAAAGACCTGAACTTATGAACAATAAGGAACTCGATGAATCAATTTTATACGTAGTGATACGGAAGTGTTTTAGAAAGAGCTATACTATAATTATACGGCCAATTTCACATTGCATTAAGTATTCCGACTTCCGACTTCATCCATTTTTAAGACATATACATGTACGTATCGTTTTATGACATTCCATTAACACTGAAATATAAGTATCTCCTTAATGCAAACATGAAGTTCTGTCAGCTCTACAAAATGAATATTTAATTTCAGGAAACATTGATATGGCAAGCAAACAAAGCATGTATATTAGTGTGCGACCGACGTAAACGACATTACTTTTTGCAGTTTAACCATTATGATCATTAATTTTGTATTAATACTTGAAATGTTTAAATGTCGTATCACGAACAGGTGAAAGTGGGTTAAGATGTATTTCGAATAAGCTCATAGACTTTCAAAACATCTAAAGATAGAGTCATATGATAACATAGCTTTTGGATGGACTTGAAAGACAATGACGTTTCCGATTAATCTAGCTAGCGTCTTGAAACAATTCATGCAAAGCAAATTCATGGCCATTTTTCCAACAATTATAATGTGTTTAAAGGTAGAAGAAAACAGATGTACCGTCGTTCAAAAACAGTTTTACTTTTATTTCATTTCTCATGCCTGATCCGTTTGTGGTTGCATCTATTTTGTTTGAGTAAAACGTTATATAGCAGCATAGTTTACACACATTGATTTGGTAGCATAAATTATTAGATTTATTCAATTATGTAATTATTACATCTATTCCTACGCATAAATGCAAACTGTTTACTTAAAAAAGTGAAGACTATAAGTCTATGTTATCCGTAAACAATTTGTTAACTTAAATACGCATTAACGAATACTGCACATGATTATAAGTTCAAGTAGACGGTTGTTGAACATGCTCAATCAAACAAAGTCTGCACCATTTTCAATTTTGTCCTTTTTTGGGGTTTTATTATCGGATCTGTTTTTTCTCTATTTTACTTTAACTATGTATAAGTCGATGGGAAATTTTCGGCAATAATCAACCGCTAGATACATGAATACTCAACTTGTCAAACAATCCAATTGGTTGATATTCATTTATTATGACCAATTAAGTAGAAATACATTGTTATTTTTGTGTTCGGTAATTTCCCCATAAAAAATTAAATTTACACCGGATGGTATCAAGTGTTTTCATAGAGTTAAATTGTTAACCTATGCATTGTCATAGTGTGTTTAAGTGTTATGTCCTTTATCAATTGTGTTTGGTATCTGCAAACTGAGCTAAAGTCTTATCATTCCCCCTTATGAAAAGTTCACTTATTTATTTTGCTGTCCCTCTTTTATAAACAATATCTGGAAATTAAAACAACTCAAATACTTAAAATGTATATACTTTACCAAATCTTCCTCAATATGTCATTTATTGGTTCGGATCTAAAGAATTGCTACACAATAAAGGCTAAAATATCTACACAAGTGTAAATTGAAAACAAACCAAGAAGTATATATAAAAAATTACATCAGTTAAAATGCAAAGTAAACAGAAAAATATACTCACCAGAATTGGACTGAGTATGGTTAGTTTTCTGGCTCTTTCACAGATTACATTGTTGGATGTTCTATATATAATTATCATGAGTATTTAATGAACAAATTATCCAAATTCTATATAATTGTATCCAGATTTTCAAGAGTACTTAGGTCACATTTTATGGTCACCTCCCTAAATCACTCTCAAATATTTCTAAATAGTGCTGCCATCCTCTTAACCTTGTATTTTTCGCATGTCTGATTCTCCTAGGCAGGAAGTTCACTTACCCTTCTCAAGGGAAAATTACTGAATAGAGGTATGTATAAACCATTTTGATTTGAAGATAATTAAGTGCATTTTAGTGCATAAGCATAGAAACTATAAATATATAAATCATCAATACAGCCAGTGTTTTTATGTATCGATAATATCTCATTTGTTTTTACTTTCTTTTCTAAAATGCTTGACTTGACATAAGCTGTGCGTTTTATCATCTCAGTTGGATTACTTTTGTGAGTATGCTTTCTTGAGGAGTGAAATTTAGATTTTTCTTAAGAGGTTACAGTAACTCTAAAATGTAAATATAAATAAGCACATCTCACGTACAATCTAACTGACATACTAAAAAGTTTGTGTCATAAAAGTAAGTGTTTAAGATAGCACTATTTTTATGTTAATAAACCTTTTGAAACACCTTTGTAAATACTTAATAATGAATAGTTGAGATTTCAGAAGCCGCACCCTTTTGTATAAAATGCTTATTACATTATAAGCCATATCTAACGAATAATACGTCTTTGAACGTCTTTTTGTCCCCAGGCAACTGTAGTTTCCACGATAACTAAAAGGAAGTGTTTACATTCTCAAATAATGCATCAAAACGAAATTAGTGACAGAAGGCAGTTGTTAAGACGGACAAACAGGGATAAAACGATAAATAGGTCATATTTTACAAAACTTATAGTCATGCCTAGTCGTTTCTTAAATAAACTAATCATTTTGTCAATCATTTCTGCGTCATTAAATTATTTGAAACTATATACTCGTATATGCTAAGTATTTCTATGTTAAATTAACTAGATTTCGTATTTCACAGGAATTTGTTCTAAAACGTAAATAACTAATTGTCTTCCGTTTTTTAAGATCTCAATTGTAAAAGATTTAGTGATTTTGGCATAAAACAACCACTCCTTTGTTTACAAGTGTTTCGTTATACAATTGCGTATCTTTAATTATCATATGAACATTACACGAATGTAGGTTAATATTTATATAATAAGGAAGGTCAAAAACATAAGTAGTACTTAATCGGATCATCTTAACAATAAACCAACTATACAATAGAACTGAATAACAAGTTAATTCTAACATGTGCATTGATTTTTAAAAAGTGTATTGAGTGCATATTAAGTGCATCGTTGAATTAAGAACTGCTCAATAATTATAAATTCTTGTTAACCGAATATTATTTAACAGGAGGCACAGAGACAACTTTTTCTCTTTGATCGTTATTTTCATTTTTTTTTCTTAACTTTATTTTTTAGTTGGATGGTTCCAGTTTATTTACATGAACAGTGGATAACCATCCGTACTATAATCTGCCGGCTTTTCAAATTATTTATTTGACAGCTTTCCCTGTGACATGCAGGATGGATTCAGAACCCTTTACCACCTTTCAAAGTTCCATTTCTTTATGTTTCGCCCATTGTCTTCTCGTTAAGATCACATTCATATCTTGGCTAAGGCAGATCTACGGATGCTTCTAAAATAAAAATTGTGCCAGTATAATTTTGCTTATGTCGGTGGTTGCTAGAGGTTTTGACGGTAGCCTGCACTATCAAGTGATTCTATTTTATCCTCACAATAGTGTTGTTTTAGCCATGTGAAGGCCGTAAGGAATCGCCCCGTACTTTAATATGATATATAGTATTTCAGATCTCCTGACAAAATCAAATGCACGGAATAAATGCACGGATAAATAATGTAGTGATGGATATGGAAATGGCTGTAAAAGTACAAATTTCTTTCCTACCGTTTGCCTTTAAAAGTTTGCAAAGAAAAATGCAAATGCATTGAGTTAACACATCCTATCTTATGGAATAACTAGTTACAGTCATCAAGCTTGTGTGGCTTTAATACCATTTTTACATTGACAAATCAAGAAACAAAGAGGAAATCATCAAAAAAGTTGTTATTTAGTCTCTTAATATTTGGTTATGAATAACGCATTCCTTCTCGAGTTACAATTGCACAATTTTATTATATGTACTTAAGCTGAAGATTGCTGTACTTAACTTTAAAATTGTAGAACAAATCTCGATGAAGTGTTGAACCACACATGTACTTCCTTTCGACAACTATGATTGTATGAATACTATTTGATACTATTTGTATTTCATTGCTTTAAGTATTCTTAAATAAATACATATTGTTTAAATTGAACAACAAACCGTTGCCATTCTGACTCATACACATACAGCGCATTTGCTTGTTTTTCAAGTGCACGGCATCACGAGCTTTATAAAGTTTTCAAGATTCATAGTTCATTCAGAACCATTGGGCTTAAAAGCCCATGAGGCATACATATACAAAACTTTATGAGAACAGTTTATACATTATACAACAATTTCATTATAACAATATATATCTTGCAAACATAATTTAGGTTGGAGAAGGTATTTTTCAACCTTATTCACCTTAACCAATTGTGACATATTTTGAACTAAATTTGAGGTTACCCTATTCCAGTTTTAAAGTCAACCTTTCAACGAAACAAAACATAAAGGTGACTGACTGGAGTGAGCATAATATTAAAATAAACTACATGACCAATATAATATTTCTGTGTGATAAGACTATTGTGCTGCATATGAAATATACCTTAGCACAATACACATTAATAATATCTATTATATAAATACAGCACGATGAAGTGATAATGTATTCTTTAAATTAAAACTTAAGAGCACCAATTTACTATATAATGCCCTCAAACCCTCGGAATTATTCGTGTCGGAGTTTTTTTAGAGAAAGTTTCATTGTTAAAATTGCATTTATTTTATGATTTATTTATTAATACAAGTGCAAAACTTAGACATTGTTGTGTTTTTATAAGTTTACGAGAAAAATGCTTTTAAATAACACCAAGATAAGTCAGCCTTACGATACCTACCTACGTTATATTAACTCCGACTCGTAATTTGTATGTGGTCACCCATTCTACATCAATAAGTTTAAAGACAAACAAAAAAACAAACAAATACAAAAAAAGGGAAAAAACACACACACAAAAGACAGGTGAACATTTTTATTCATCAAGAATAAAACCTACCGTACCTTTGAATAAACTTAACTATTTAGAAAATGTTGATTTTCAAATTGTGATCAGTTGTTTTATTGGCTTACTTACCGTATATTCTATGAATAATAGGCGTGCATATATATAGATCAATAGTTTGAATGCAGTTACAGCGTTCGGTAAGATTATTGATGTAGTAAGAAATATTTATTATATGAATCGAATTTACAAACTTTGTCGTTATAACATAATGCACATGCTCTATTAAC